TATTCTGAATAGTAATTTTTAGGTCTTTTATCTTTCTCAGTACTCTTGTTTTTGCTCCTGTAGTTATAACCACAACAGTAGATAACTTTTTTAGAATTTTTAATTTTAGTTTATCTACTAATTTCTTTGTTATAATGTTAATAGCTATGCTAGAGTCCAATATAGCTACTACAGGGTTTCTTTTGATTCTAATATAGTATCTAGTAGCTATAGTATACTTTGGTTCCTTGAATATTATATAGCTAGCTTCTTGTACTAGAGATAGTAGTCTTCTTAGTATCTTAGCCAAATTTTATCTTTGGTTAGAGTATTGGAGCATCTGCTTTATGGTTATATTAGCTGAAGAGTTTAAAATATCTTCAGTGATATTGTATAGGGTATGTTTATCTATAACTGATAACTCTTTTTTTTTTCCTTAGTCATTTTTTCAGAATGAACACATTCTCATCTATTAACTCTTGATCCTCTACTAGTAGTATTAACTAGAGTTCAGATGATATATTTTTATTTCTTAATCTGTTTTTCTACTTCAATTCTAGTTATCCTTAGGATTTCTTTTATTACTACTTCTTTCATAAGGGTAGTGTCTTTGCTACTTATTTAGTATATAAACCTTATCTGGTTCTACCCATAGATTATCATCACTGTTTTAGTTATTTTTCTTATATAATTACTAACTCTTTTAATTTTTTTGTTTCTTCTAGGTATCTTTTCAGCAGGCAATACCAAGTGATATAACCTATTTTGCTACAGTTATAGCAAATTATTTCTTTCCTTAGTTCTTTTGTGAGTTCTCTTTAGAAGATTTCTTCTTGAATGTTTTTTTGATTATTATTTTCTTGAAAGTTATTGTAGCATCTTTTATAGTTGTAGGGTTTTTTATCTAGTTGGAATTTATAGTAGTAAAGTTTAGGACTATTTGTTCTATTTTCTGAAATAGATTACCTAATTCTTTCTCTAATTTTTTTTGTTAAATTCTTTTGAGAACTTGCTTACTATAATACTCTCTCACTTCTACTTTTCTAGTACTAACTATAGCTTTATTCAAATTTTTAGGTTTCTATACAGTAACAAAAATTATGATTTTTTCTCTTAGTCCACTTAGAAAAATTCTTATTATGAATCTATCTGATAAGCTATCTTCAGAGTCTACTTGTCCTAATAATCTTTTGAATTTTGTAGTGTATGCATCAACTTTTTGTACTTTTTCTATTAGAGACTATTCAGTTCTTTCTGCCACATATAATATTTTTTCAAGGTAGTGAAGAATTCGATAAAGGCATAGTAGAAGTTTTTTGGTTTGTTTTCTTTATTCTTCTATTCATCTAAATTTTTCTTGTTTCTTTTATGCCAATTAGCAGTCAAGTCTTTAAGGTAACCAAATGCTATTTTTAGCATTTTTTCTTCAGACCAGTTATTTGCTACAGCAGTGCTTTTGAATATTTCTAACTATTCTATTGAGTCTTTATTGTTATAGCTATGGAAAGAATTGATATTCATATAGGTCAATTCTCTTCTTTCTCCTAAGTACTTTTTTGTATTTATAACCATAGTTGCTACTTGAGTAAAAGAATTAGTCAAATCTTTGAGAAGTTCTTTTAGTTGTTCTTTATTCATTTCAGTAGTTGTAAGTTTCTTATTCCAAGTAAGTATAGTGTTTATATTGTTTATTTTTTTGAGTATATTTTTTTTCAAATTTTCTTTCTATTTAATTGCTTTTTATTACAACACTTCTTTTGATATCTTTTTTCTTCTAATCTTTTATTCTTTACAAGCTGAGTTCTTTTCTATATATCTCTTGTCTTTTGTTACTAATCTTTATCTTGTCTTTTTTGTATCAGAGGTGGGAGGAGGGGAGGGAAAGAGAAAAGGGGTTTTACAATATTTTGAGATATTCAATCTCATAGTCACTACTAAATGAAACAAGTAATAGCAGTGAGTCAGTCGCTTGACAATTCAAATACTTTATGTTACCTATAGTAAGCTTTACTAGAAAGAGATATATTAGGTTTTGTGAGTTAGTTAGTTCTGTAAGTGAGCCTTTATTTTATTTAAGTAATTTCTAGTCTTTCTTTAACTTCAGCTATACTATACTACTTTGGGTAAGCTAGACAAATCAACTACATTTATACTAGATATATTAGATTAATAACTAGATAGAGTATCAAATATAGCAAGGGTCATATGAACAGGATTTAGAGAGAGAAACAAAGTTTATCACTATGCCACTTAGTAACAAACTAGAGTTAGGTAGTTTAGTAAATTTATTATTTATTAATGAACAATTATTATATATAAGGAGTTAAGTAATTATTTTAATAAAGCAAAATTAAGAGGTATCTTTCCTCTAGAGCTTTTATAGCTTTTATTTATAATAAAACTCATTATTTACATTTGATATATTACTCTATTTAATAAGTCAATATTGTGGCTCTAGTATACCAAGTGTTCTAAGTATCTATATAGTCTAAATAGCCTATATAACCTTAGTACTTACATAGTCTAAATAGCCTATATAATCTAAATACTCTATATAGCCTAAATAGCTTATATAGCTGATATAGCCTAGTTTACTCTTATTCAGAATTACTATAGTATGTGGCTTCACTAGTTAATAGTATCTAAGTATAATCTGTTATAGTAATTTTTAATCTTTTTATCTCTAGTTTTATTATATAAATACCTAGAGATAACTCAAAAAAAAATGCTATAGCTTATTATGTTTACAGATTAAACTCTATAATTTTTTAAACCTACTAAAATTTCTTTAAATATATTATTCTTTACTAATTTAAAATATAAGCTAAAAACTCTTCTGTTTTTTCTATCTTTTCTTCTTTTTCTAAAAAAGATAACTAAGTTTAATTAACTTCTTCATTCATTTGGTTTTATTTTGTTTTTTTTTCTTGATTTTATACTAGCTTTCTTATCTTTTGATAAGATTTTTTTACTTTTCTTCTAATTGTTTATCTCTGTATATTATTTAGTCTAGATATTTTTATATATATACTCAATTTAGAAGTTTCAGATCATATACTAAAAATTTGTAATTAACTTTTTAGCTCTAATTTTTCTTTTATCTTTTCTATATTACTTTTGTTTAGGATTTCTCATAGCTATTTAATATTTTGTAATTATTTTTCTTTTTCTGTTATCTTTATAATAATTTATTTTAATTTCTAAAAATCTTACTTTTTATCTTTTCTTTTATTAGTATATATTTTTTCTAGACTTTTTTGCTTATTTTAATAGTACTTTCTGTATTTTTTTATAATAAATAATATGCTTATTTGTTTCTAGTTTTTAAAATATCTTTTGATATATTGTCTTTATAAATATTAGATTTTCTAATATGAAAATTGCTAAATCTCACCACAGGTGATCATCACCTTAATGTTGTACAATATATAGATTAGTATCGTAACAAAAAAAAACATTTTATTTAGTTTAGGTTAAGGGCTGTAGCCTATGGTTAGGGTTAGGGTAGTACTTAGATTATATACAAAATTTAGCAAGGAATTTTTTTTATTAGAACCCAAAAGACGGTTTCATAATCGAATTTTTGAGATATTCACGATTTTGAAAAAATTCTTTGTTTTTGTCGTACAAAACGTTACACCTGATCCTGCAATTTTATTGGTTAATTACACACCGGTGATGATCACCTGCGGTGATGTTTAGCAATACTCTATAAATTTATACTTATCTCTTAATTTTTTTAAACAAATTTTTTTAGGTTTCTTTAATGCATAAGTAGTACATAGGTTCTTCAGGTTGAAAGTGTTTAAATTCTTTTAGCATTGCAAAGTTATACTTCATTAAAAATATATATATATTTATTTATTTATTTAATATAAAAATATGTTATTCAAATCATGAAGTTTACAAAGAGATTTTTCATGTCCTTATATATAAAAAATTTTGTAAAATAAGCACTTAAAAAAAATTATTTTACGTGACAAGTAAACAATCCAAAATAGTATTAAAAACAAAAAACACGAATCCAAAAAAGTAGATAAGATCAAATAAGGGCATCCTTATAAAAATGAAAATCAATTTCTAATCACTAATTCAATCAAAACATTCTATTTAGTTTATTTATTTAATAAAAATCTTACGTGTCATGTTTAATTTACTCTGTATAAATAATTTATATACCCTTCCAAATCATTTCAAATAACAGTAACATATAATTTTAATATCAGAACCAGTATAACATAACTATTTAGTAGAGATAGAAATGTAAGGCAGTAATCTGTGTGAAAAAAAATACGTCTTTTTGGAATATCCATTATTTCTTAAGTATATAATAATTCTTAATACAATCATCAAATTTTCAAAGAAAAAAAAAACGAAAAGTGTCGATTCTGTATATCGATATTGTATTGGGAAACGAACGATCCTTATTTTACAATGTATCCTTTTGCAAAAAGATTTTTTTCTTCAATTTTTATAATTATGACGACAGTTACAATGGATAACGTGGAGTCCATCCCGAAAATTGATTTATGTATGTTTTGTTAATCATTATAATTATACTTTTGATATTTTTGATTTTGAATTTCAAAAAAAAAAAGCAAAATCAAGGTACGATCAATCTAAATATATCGGTCGAGTAAAGCATTTTATTGATACAGTATAACTGATCTAAGGTATTACGATATTATTAGTATATTTTTTGAAATCTAATTTGATAAATTCACTAAGTTTATTTCATCTGTACAAACAAATGAAATTAGAACATTATTCGTTTCAAAATCCGGCCTTGAAAAATCCAAAAAATTAATTGATGATTATAATTCTGGAAAATTAAAAGATGTAAATCCAGAAAGTTTATGGAAAGCAAAAAAAAAGCGAGTTATTCAAAAATCTTTATAACAAAGAAGAGCTTGATTTTTAATTTAACTAATATTTTTTAAAACAATAAATAAATTTTAATAATAGTTGTCAATTCGACAGTTCACCCAGACACTGGTGAACCAATATTTTTATCATTTAGAATGTCATGCTTTGTACCGACTAATCTTGTTGTTGTCGCTGGTATGTTAATGCCAAAGCCTAGTGTAATTTTTGTCCAAATGTTTCTTTATTAATCATTTCTTTAAATATAATTAGTTATATAAATCTCATCGATGAAATTTTTTAGTGAAAAGCATTATATTCTGGCAATGGGCTAATCAAATTATTAACGTTGCTATAAATTATAGTAATGCTAATAAAACTATTATGATGAGTCTGAAGGAAACTGCTAGTAAGTTTTAATTTATCCTTAAAAAGTAAAATTTCATTTCTATAAACTTGATTATTTAATATATGCTTTTTTTTTTTCGAAAAAATTAGTTGCTTATGCTTCAGCTGTAACCAAATCATGCGGATTAGCTGTTGGGTTAACACAAGCAGTACCTCGTCTAAAATCAACTCGTGGAATTTTAGCCATATTGGTACCTTTTGTTGCTGTTGCAAGTGCTGGAACAGTTAATGTTTACTTAATGCGTTTAAAAGAAATTAGGTTTGTGGTCATTCATAAATTTTTAGAAATGGGATCGATGTTTATGATGCTGATGGAATAATTTGGGTAAATCACAAAAAGCCGGTGCAAATGCTGTTGGACATGTTTGGAATTGAAAACTTTTTTTTCATCATAATTTCATTTCATTCTTTAAGTCATAATTATCTTTAATAACAATTTAAGTTGCAATCTCTCGCATACTTACAAATTTTCCTGTGCTAACAATTCCACCACTCATACTCTCGCAGCTTGAAAAGACAATATTATTAAAAAATAATCCTAAGCTTGCTATTCCAATTAACTTGGTATGTGACCTTTTATTATTAAAAATTTCCATTCTCTATCTTCAATTAATACTGATATCTTTCAATATTGTATTACTAAAGGTCTTATAACGTTATCATTAACAATCGCCTTACCATTAGCAATCGCAGCTTTTCCGCAAAAAGCTGTTATAGATCCATTAAAATTAGAAGATACATTTTGGAATTTAAAAGATAAAAATGGAGAAGCCATAAGACAAGTATTTTTATAATAAAGGTTTATAGAATTATCATTTTTTTTGGAATCACATCATATCGATTTTAAAATAGATGTTTATAAACAACCAATTTTAGAACTTTCAATTACTTTAAATTGGTCAAACTATTCTTTATATATATTTTCCTTTGTTCATATTCTTATTTCTACTTAGTAAAACTATTCGTACAATTTTCTTTGCTTTAACCAATAAATATGAATCGCACAATGAAAACATCTTATAAACAATATAACAATTCATTATCGTTACGCTTTCTAAAATGATAACATTACCATATAGAATTAAAGTGAATTTCTTAAGATTAGTATAATATTACAAATTTGATATCCTATCTAAATATACCTCAATTAACCTTTACGGCGCGTTTATGAAATTTGTGCATTAGTCCAACATAGTAGGTGCGTCATTCATTATTGTTTTTTGACTATTTCTTATTGTAAATCACATGATAAACGTCTAACTCATCCTCCCACATATTTTATATGCTTTTTATGTGGGAAGATGAGTTAGACGTTTATCATGTGATTTACAATAAGAAATAGTCAAAAAACAATGATAAATGACGCACCTACTATGTTGGGCTAATGCACAAATTTTATAAACGCGCCGTAATGCTGCTTCGTATATCCTACTATATCAATTTTGTACATAAACTAGAACATGATCATAAGACCGCTTTGCCGCTGTGATTAAAGTGTTAATAGTGCATAATATTATATAGTACGTAAAGATTATATCTAATTATGTATAAGTTATTGATACAATAAATAAAAGGGTATTTATAATTTTGATATCTTATCTGCGATGGATGTTAAATCGATATCAGTTTATTTCCCTATAGTGCCATTCGCAATGTGATATCTGAGTTTAGTAATACAGGCTGACCTTGGCCCAATGGCTAGGCTGATGGGCGAGTCAACAACCCGCACCTTTGTGAGCTTGGTGAGTCGACGTAGGGTTAATTTTTTTTTGTAAATATATTTGTAATATAGATGATGGTTCAAAACAGTCAATAAATTAATTTTGATAATAGTCAAATAAAATTATTTCTTCAATTACTTCTTCCAAATCCAAAATAATACAAATTTTTTTTTAATCTGAGTTTTTTCAATCTTTCTTTTTTTTTATTCAATTCTGATTCTTGTGACTTTATGGTTTTCATCTGTTTTTACTAATAATTTCTCTTTTTTTCACATTTTACAGTAATTCTCATAAACTAACTAACCTTAATTTAGTTATGATATTTGAAGCTGAACTTCAGTAGAAAGGTCAGTTCAAATGACCTACTTGAGTTTTTTTGGTTTCGATTCTAGCTCAAAAAATTATCATTTCATATCACTATATAAAATAAAACATGCATCATATTATTATTATTATTATTTTTTTTTTTTTTTTTTTTTTTTTTTTTTT